CAGCAGGAGAGCTGGGCAGATGTTTAGCGTTAGCCAGTTCCCCTTGCCTGCCCGCTGAGCACCCTGCCCTCTGCCCAGCCTCCTTTCCTGGCTCCCAGGACCCTGCCTATGCCCCTTTGTCCTCAGGCTGGTCAGCCCAGATATGTCCCCAGCGGCAAGGAACTGCCCTGGGTCTGTTTTCCCAACTGCTCGGGCATGTGCTGAGTAGGTGGATGCTTATCCAGGCCAAGTCCCAGGATTGAAATTCTCGAGGCCTGGGGCGGGGTGGCGGGGTGCGAAGAGCATGCAGTTTGGAGTCAGATGGACGCAGTCAGAATCCAGGCTCTGACTGAGACCAACCATTTAACCTCTGTGAGCCTCGGTCTCCTGATCTACAAAATGGCATGAGGACACTCCCTACCTCTTAGGGCTGTGGAGGAAACCCCACTGGCTTCTTGTGTTCATGCTTAGTGCAGTGCCTGGCACACAGTGGGTCCTCAACAAATTATTCCAACTCAGCCCCAGCGTCTGGCTTACCTCTGGGTTCTCTGTTGCTCAAGTGGAAGGGTCACTTCCCATGGAGAGAGAAAGGAAATCAAAAGTGTTCTTGGAGTAGATCAGAATATAGTACTCTTTAACCAAAAGAATGTCTGCCAAAGTCTTGGAGTCTTCTGTTACTGCGACATGATATTTCAGGCAATATTATTTTATTTTGTCCCATTAAGTGAACAAAGATTTTTCAGAGGCAAGGAGTGCAAAGACCAGGGTTCAAATCCCAGTTCTAATTTTCCGTAAGACCTTGGACAAATCATTTTCCTATTCTGGTCCTTGGTTTCATCACCTATAAAGTGAGGAGGTGACCTAAATGTTGTCTGAAGTTCCTTCTGGCTATGATAGAAAGGGAAGTGGTTAGGGTGTCGGGAGACTAAGATTCTGGCTAGTTCTATCACTAATTTGCTACGTGATTATAGGTAGATAAGTCCCTTCCTCTTTCTGGGCCTCAGATTCCTCATTTGTAAAATGAGGTTGTTGGGCTAGGTTAGAGATGGCTAATATACAGCACGTGTGCCACTCCACTCCAAGTTTGTGCCTAATTGCAGGGATCACTGGTGGAGCTCAACACATTTCCGGCTGAGCCTAGAAACAGCCTCAGAATCCTTCTCAACACAGTACTCCCGGAATATAGCATCACTCAGTCAGAGTATATCCATAGAGGACCCCTAAACTTGCCTTCCCTTAGAGTTGGTCTCTGAGGTCCTTCCCAGCTGTGCCCCTTGGGAACTCCATGACCCAGGGACCCTAGCACTCACCGTGTTTGGTCAGGAACCTCAGGGCCTCCAGCTGCCCACTCTGGGCGGCCACGAACAAGGGGGTGATGCCATAGGCATTCTTGGCTTCCACCTTAGCACCTCTGCTCACCAGGATCTCCATGACCTCCAGGTCATTGCGAGCAACAGACTCGTGCAGAGCCGTCCAGCCTCGGTTACAGCGGTGATTCGTGTCCGCGTTGTACTGCACCAGAATCCTCACTGCCTCCACGTTCTTGCGCTCACAGGCTGTGCCCAGGGAGAAGCAAGATGGTCAGCAGGGCCCCGGCAGGACCTGACCAGCCAAGACTTTATTCATTTGTTTGTCCATCCACCCATTCACTCATCAGCCATAAGTGGATTCACTCAACAAATATCTACTGGATCTGTACTAAGTTTCAGTCTTTGCATAAACCTAGGATATACAACTAAAAGTAATAGTAATACGAATCAGAATTAATATTTGCTGATATGTATCTGTTGCTGATATGTATCTGTTATGTGCCAGGCCCTCTATTCCAAGCACGTCGCATAATTAACTAATTTAGTTCTCCCAACCACCCTTAAAGAATGTAGTGTTATTCCCTTTCACAGATGAGAAAACTGAAGCACAGAGAAGTTAAGTGACTTGCCCAAGGTCACACAGATAGTGAGTGGCAGAACTGGGATTCAAATCCAGCTAGTCAGTTCTGGAGTCTCTGTCCCCTGGAAGGTTCCGGAATGCCCCTACCTCATCTCCCTTTCCAGTGTTACCTGCTTCGGTCCTCCACGAGGCCAGAAGGGGAGGAGGAGGGCAGTGCTATCGTCCTGATCAAAACACTTCCTCAAAAGCTACTCACTTAATTTGGGCTAAAATTTATCTTCTGAGTCTGTTCAAACCTCCCTTATAAGCCTCATCTTGCTCTAGGCCCTAAATGCAGCCTTAGCGCTGGCAGAGCTATTACCAGGGAGGCTGGGCGCTTGTCCAAATTAACCATCCCTGGAAGCTTCTCTGAGTCAGTCAGAGGGGGTGGTGAGAAGGAAGGGGGGCTGCCTGTGTAGTGTTTCAAACAGGACCCCAGGCTTGGTTTCCTCACCTGTAAAGAACAGATAATGGAACCTTCCCGAGAGGATGCCGTGGGAGGGTGGAGTGAGGTAGCCTACGAAGGCTCTAGGGTGGAGCTTGGCACATAGTGGAGCTCATGCAGGACCAGGGCCCAGGCTTCAGCTGTGAGTCACCCAGCATATTGGGCGCTCTCTCTGGGTCAGCTGAGGCTCCAGGTGATGGCTCCAGTGCCCGGGGGACGTGAGTTCTAGGGAAGACACTTCCACCACAGGTCTGCCGTGGACCTGGTTCCTGCTGCCTATGGAATGTTCCAGGTGCTGGATACCAGACACAGGGGAAATTGGAGATTTCTGTAGTTTTTCAAAGTGTAAAGGTCGTATCATTTTTGCAAGACCCAAAGCTGATTGCTTAAGCGTATAGGCATGAACTAAACACTTGATCGTGGAGTAGTTCAGAGTGTGGTGCTGGTATCCAGTTCGCGGAGTTTAGATCCCAGATCTGCCCTTGCTGGCTGTGTGATCCTGGCTGCCTCATGTCAGTTCTCTGTGCCTTAGGGCTTCATCTGTAAAATGCGATACTAGCATTGCCTACCTCGTACGTGGATGGATATGAGGGTTAGAAAAAAGAACAGAGCCTGGTACTTAGTAAGCACTCAATAAATACCAACTGTCATGAGTATTCAGATTTTGACCCTGGGTACTGCCAGGGCAGCCAGTGAATGTCCTTGGATGATGTATTGAGTAAGCCAGGAGTGTTTCCTTTTCTCGAACATCCTGGAGGTACAAGTTCCCTCTCACGCCTCTTTGCTTTTGCCTGTGCTGTTCCCCTTGCTTGTCCAGCTGGTAAATCCCTCCCATTCAGGCTCAGCTCTGAGACCCCCTCCTGTGGATGCCCTCTTCCACATCAGGGCCCCTCCCCAATGTTCCCAGGTGCCTTGTGCCAAGCTCTTCAATGCCAGTAGCTGACTGTTACATCATCTGCGAATCGACGCCCACCGGATGGGGAGAGCACATGGACACGGACCCTATCTTTTCATCTCAGGGCTCTCAGCGTGCCTGGCCCGTGGGAGGACTTGGGAAATGTTGACTGAATATGTGCATGAATGAATGGTTCAACTATGTAAGTTATACATCTGAACGAGGCTGCACCATCAAAGTAGACCCTCTTGGGGAGTTGTACAATTTGCAAGCAATCCTCCCCATTGCCCACCTAGTTTCTGGACCCTCCCTCGGGGAAGCCCATCCCAGTGGGCTCACCTTTGTAGAGTGGTGTCTCTCGGGCCTTGTTGGAGATGTCGGGCTCAGCCCCAGCCTGGAGCAGGGATTGGAGGCAGTCCAGGTGTCCCCTGCATGTCGCCAGGTAAAGGGCCGTTTCCTCCTGCAGGGTGCGCTGGTCAATGACTGCCGGGTATGCTGGGGAGGATAGACCAGGAAATTCAAAAGGAGGAAGATACCCACCTCCCCCTCTAACACAGGGGTGGTCCCAATTTCCTCCCAGTTCCAGGGACAGATGTGAGGGGCCTCCACCTGAATTTACCATCCACACTGCCTTCATCCCCTTGGCCTTGGATTCAGTCACTTTCACAGGGCTGTTTCAGCTTCCCGGTCATATTAATCCAGCTCAGATGCCACCTCCTCTGGGAAGCCTTCCCTGGTCGAACCCCCTCCTCCTCCGAATGACCCTGTCCTTCCCTTACACTCCCACCAGCCACTGCCAGAAGTCTGTCTCATGTAGTCGCTTCTGCCCTGGAGTGTGGTGGGCTGCCTGGTGTCCGTGCTTCTTGAGAGCAGAGGTAACTCCTGCCTGCAGGTGTTACCCATCCACATCTGGCCTGGGGGAGAGCCGAGGCTCAGAGAGGAGGCATGATTTGCCCAGGGTGTCACAGCTGCTGGAGACGGCCTTGGCAGGGCACAGGCACAGCTGCGGTATTTTCCACACCAAATCAGCCCCTGGAACATTCTCGAACGAGCTGGCAGTGGCTCTCCCACAAGTCAGCCTTCCCTCATTCCTTTTCTAGGAATTAGGCCCTCCTGTCCTGGGAGGCCTGGAGAGCTGGCGGGATGGGCGGGGAAGCACTTCCTTGCTTCCAACTTGATGACTTTAACTCTGCAAGCGGGGTGGTAACTTTGCCTTGCCCCCTTCACCATGGTTGTGGTGAGGCAAAGCTCTGCAAGGAAAGTTCCCTTGCCCGTGCGTCCCGTTCCCACCTGTGGCTGCGCACAGAGCCCGCCGCCTCACCTTGATGCAGCGCCTTCAGGCAGCTCAGCTGGCCGTAGTAGGCCGCCTCGTGCAGCGGCAGCCAGCCCTCCTTGTTGGGCTCTGCGAGGTTCTTCCCCGCCTTGATCATCGCCTTCAAGGCCTCTTCATCACCTTCCTTGATGGCCTTTAGCACAGGGTCCATGGGCCTGTGAGAGCAAGGGGCAGGTCATTCCTCTGGACTGGGGCAGGCAGAGGCAGGGCCAGGTGGCCTTTCTCCCAGAAGGAAAGCAGGGCCTGCTGGTGACCAGGAGTGGGGCTGGCTGTGGGATCACACAGTCCTGCTTGGCCCTGCTGCTCTGGGACAGGTGCTCAGCCCCTGCAGCCGTGTCCTCTCAATAAGGAGAATCATTTTTCCTAACCCACATGGGCGTGCCCTGGGAACTCGGCCCCGACCTCGGCCCTGACCTTGGCCTCTCTGACTCTCAGCCCCATCACGGCTTCCTCAGCCTGCCTGTGACCGGGTCAGCCTCTCCCTGCCTCCGGTCCTAAGCCCTCAGCTAACCACTGGCTTTTACGTGTCTTTGATTGTTTGCCCACTGTCTGTCTCCCCCACTGGACTCTGAGCTCCAAGACCACAGGGCCTGTGTCTTTCTTTTATCCCTTATGATTTGGTTCCCACGACCCAGCTCAGTGGCTGGTCCGTAATAGGTACTTAATAAATACTTGCGGCTTGAAAGAAAGAGAAAGAAAATATGAAAGGGAGGGAGGGAGAGAGGAAGGAAGGATTCAGGATTTAAGAACCCCGACAATTATTTCACTCCTTCATCCCTTCTATTTCCAAAAAGACAGCCTCTTCCCTGTTAGAGTTTTGCTTGTTTCTTTGGAGATTGTATTTATATCTCTTTCAAAACAGTCTTTGCAATGGCCTCCTCTGAGCGCTTGGAGGACTCACTGGCCTAAGAAGATAAAGGTGAGGGCTCTGGATTGGGCTTTGCCAGTGTTCCGTCCCCCTGTGAGCATCCCTGGGCCTGAAGTGTTCCCATGCCTTTATCTCCAAGTTGGGTACCACATTGGGAAACTCTACTAGAAACATGGCCAGCTCATTCACTTCCACAGATGGAAACCAAGGGTCCCTTTTAAACAGAGCTCCTTGGTGGCCAAAAGAGAATCAGGGGACCCCTCTGTCCCTGCAGCTTTCAGTGGCTGCATCTGCTATACCAAGACCACTTCTACCAGGAGGATTCGGGCTTCCAGTGTCGGCCCCCCAAAGGGATGGATATCTGACCCCACAGGAGGTTTTAGTGATAATTAAACTCCTTCCCTGAGCATAGCCCTCCAGAGTTTACCAAGCACCTCCACCTTTGGGGCCTGTTTGCACTGAGACAAAGGCGCAGACCCTTCAGAGGGGGAGTCCGTACAGTGAGCACCTCTCTGGGGTCTTCCCAGCCCCTTTCCTTTCTCCGGACCCTTCTCCTCACCTCTAGAACTTTCAGCTGCTGAAAGATTAAAGTACCTGAAGGATTAATACGTTTGACACCTTCACAATTTAAAACTTCTGAATGTCAAAAAGATTTCAGGGCTAATATGAAAGATAACTTCTTAGCTTGGCTCATCCAAGTCACTTCGTTCGTTCATTCATTCATTCATGCACTGAGCTGGCTTCCCCCATCCTTGGAGAGTCAGTGAGGACAACAGACTGCTGTGGGTCCACTCTTGGGGAATGAGCTGCTTAAGTGGTCCCATTTCCCTGATGGAGGAGGTGAGACCGGAGGCAGGCCTTGTCCCAGGGCCGTCATCCCTGTCAGTGGCCACGATAGGCCCAGAGTGTCTCCAGGGCCAGCCCCTTTACCCTCCCAGCTGCTCCCCCCTCCAGCATGAGCAGCACTTCCTCCTGACTCTCAGCCTCTCTGGTTATTAATAGCTTCAGAGCACAGACGCCGGTTAAGGACAGACCCAGCAAGGACGATGGGTAACTGACCAGATAAGCCCTGAAGTCCCCATCAACGCCATCACTGCCACCTTGATGAATTCCGCTTACGAGCGGCCAGAGCAGCCCCGGTTGGTGTCAGGAAAAGCCCCAGTGGGGTAGGTGTCCTGTCTCTCCTGGAAGGTCTCCTGTGGGGCCCGGCTGAAGTGGAAGGGAGGAGGGCTGGCTGTTCTTGTGGCTTTGGCGGGTGTGCGGTGTCATGAGAACATTCTCAGGACGCACCGCTCAGCTTGGGCCTCGTCCAGCTGTGGTGCAAGGACCCTGGAGGGCTCAGACACACACACCGCCAGCGTCTTTATGAGCTCAGCCAAAGTGCCCGCCCCAGGGCTGGGGGGAACTGCTGCGGGTATCAGACCATCAGAGACCGAGGAGCTGGACAGGACCCTGGAGGCCACTCTGTCCTCTCCAAACTTCTCTACGGAGAACGGAGACTAAGTGAGGGCCAGCGACTCACGGGCAGTCTCACAGCAAGTGGCAGCAGCGCTGAGACCAGAACCTGGTCTCGCTTTTCCAGACTGTCAAAATCCTTCCTGCAGCGCCAAGGAAGAGAGGGGTGGCAGGGCTTGAAAAGGGCTGGGCCAGTTGTCTCCTTCCCCACAATGTAACCGATCAAGGAAATAGGGGCTCCAGCCATGGGACCCCTTTTTTGCTTTTAACTGCTTCTGGGGTCGAGCAGAGAAGGAAACAGCACAGAGCTATTTTCCAAGGACTCACCTAGCCCAGCACCCTGGTGCGAGGCAGAGCCCTTCCTGCAGCTCGGATTATCTTTTGGTTTTAGCACCTGGCACTTAATAAATAAAGGCAACAAAGCAAACCAAAACTTGTGGGTGTGGGCGTCGTGGGTGTGCTCAGATAGACCCACGGTGATGGCATGCGGGAAAGTGAGAGAGAATGCGGGGCTGGCTCATCGGCCTCAGCTCTGAGCCCCTGGAGTACTAGAGCCGTCTCCCCAGTCCCCCTCTTGCTGGGTCCCCAGGTTCAGAGCCCTACGGGGCTACTCCAGCACGCAGGGCCCATTCTGGGGGAACTGAGGGGTTAATCACAAGCTCAGCCTGGCTGGCAGTTCCTAGAGGATGGAGCCTGTGACCACCAAGCCCAGCTCGGCAGGAGCTGCTGGGTCTCAGGGGGACACACCTGGGAGGGTTGTTCCTTGGAGTCCCTCCAGAGTACCCCTCTTCCTGGGGGCTGTGGGACTGCTTCCCATCCCTGCACCCCAACCCCAGTTTAGAGGAGAATGAGCTTGGATGGTCTGGGGGTCGCGGTGGGGGGCACTTACGCCAGCTGGAAGGACTTGCTGCAGCTGTATTTCTGCATAACCTCCTGGAACAGGCCCTTGGGGGCTGCGGTCGAGGCGCTCTCAGGAGACACAGCGGACCTGGAGGGTGCAGGACAGGAGTGAAAGAGGGAAAAATACTCTGCATATGAGAAGCGGGTCATGGCCGGAGGCAGGAACGAGGATGGAGGGAGAGCGAGGGGGAGAGACTGACAGACAGACACAGGGCTCTGAACCAAAGCAGATGGCCGGGTCCTCCCTGTGCGCTGGACACAGCTGCTGTGTCTCCAGATTATTTTTGGCCCTTGGAGGAAGCCCTGGGAGATTTAAATGACCATATAAGACAACAATGAGGTTAACCTCACCCCACCCCCGAAGGTCCCCCTCCCCAGCCAACCACGCAGGAGGCAGATATGAAGCAAGGTGACATTCTTCACCCAGGAGGATGTGAGGAGTAGTTAGCAGCAGGTCCCAGGATGAAAGGGGCTCAGTCCCAGGGCGGGCCAGGCTGGGTCCCCACAGGGATGGACAAGAGACTCACTGGGGTGGGGGGCTAGGAGAGCAAAGCTGGGGCGCCAAGCCAGGTCTGTGCTCCCACCCTCACCTCACTGGCTCCTCGTTAGAGGGTGCTGCTCTCCCAGGGTCGGGAACAAGCAGTACAAAGGGTAGAGCAAAAAGATGCACAAAGAAGTTCTTCGGAGTCAGGGCTTGGAGTCAGAGTGACACGGGTTCAAATCCAGGCTCTGGCACTCCCTGGCTGTGTGACCTCGAACAGGTTCATCTTCTCTGGGACTTAGTCTGGTGAGGCCTGAGTGCGTGAATGGTGTAAAGTGCTTACCAGAGGGCCAGGCACAGGGCTCCACACGTGTCCACCATTCATTGCATCATTATTTCGTCTCTCTGAGTCTCAGTTTTCCCACCCCACTGGGCTGTTGTGAGGACCGGAGGGGGTGAATGGAGGGGAGGTGGCCACTGCACAGATCTGGACTAGTTGGAGCTGGAATGGGGACAGGGCATGCTGTCCCCTCTTCCAGCGGGTTGGGGACCCTGGTGCAACAGACACCCCAGCGGACCCGGCCTGGTCTCCTGCGCCCCTCTGCGGGGTCCCCTGCGGGATTGGGAAGGATGTTACTACAGGTGACCAGCATCCCGTGGGCCATGGAGGTGCTGGAACTGTGACCCTGAGGCCCTGCAGATTTTGTGAACACCCTCAGCCAGGCCGGGGCACAGGGAAAGGGAGGGAGCAGACAGAGACAGGAAGGATGCCAGCCCCCTTCATCTGCTGCACCACGGTCATCACCTCCCACCTTCCTTCTCCCCCACCTGCTCCTGAGCAGCGAGGCTGAGTGTGATGCCATGAATGCTAGAGCGGGTGCCAATGCCATTGCCTTTCCTAGACTCAGAGACTGAGGCTCCCAGAGGCAGGAAACGGCCCCAGGGTCACACGCAGCTGCAGAGTCGACTCCTGTCTGCCGCGGAGCTCCAACACGTGCTCCCTCCTCCAGAGGCTTGGTGTCTCCCGCCCCTTTGTCCCTTCTCTGGCTCTCAGGCCACCACGCTGACAGGTCCTGAAACTGGGAACAAGCCCCCACCCCTCTTTGTGCCTCAGTTTCCTCCTTTGCAAAATGAGGAGGAAGGACCAGACCAGGGGTTTCCTCGCTGCTGTGGTTGCCGTGGAGCCTTCACTGCAATGAACTCACATGGAAACTCAGGATGCCATACAGATCTCACACCACATCCTGGGGATGGGGGTGCAGAGACTGGCCCTGCCAGGGCCCCTTTTCCCCAGCCCTGAGAGCTGCTGTTTCAGTGTCATTATCTGCACTTGCTCCCAGCCCTGAAAAGTGGAGGATGCTGGGCAAGACGGAAGCAGCCTGAGGCCAGGCCCACCTGAGCAGTCCCCAGCCCTGTGGTCATGACAAAGCCCTGGACTTCTATCTCTACATGGCCCTGGGGACCTGATCACTCTCATCATTGATCCATGTGTGGCCTCCCATCACTTTTTGTTGTTAGAATGTTTTTAGCCAGGTAAAACTCATTGATGAAAACCTACCCACCACCCTAAAATTAGGACATATCTCTGATGGTATAATAACAGCAACAATGGAACGGTGAGGCTGGTGGGGATGGCAGCGAGATGGCGACGGTGACATTCCCTCACAATGGGGCATGGCTTCGCCTCCTTTCTATGCTTGCACAGCCTGTGCTAGGGCCTGGGGGTGCAGATCAATGGCATACTTCTTTTTGTTGATCCTCAGGTGTTCAGAGGCTCACGGGGTCGGGCCGGGGGGCGCGTGAGGACACATACCACCACAGAGCCGCAAGGGAGGGGCTGGGAGAGAGGCAGGAGGACCCGCTCTGGGCGCTCTGAAACTGAGCGTGTTAACTAGGCTTTAGGGGCAGGCAGCATGAGTGCTCAGAGCCGGAAGGGGAGGGAGGCCGCTGACCGGGTTCTGTGCTCTTTCTGATCAAGGCTACAGGCCCCATTTCACCTCGGGTCCAGAGCAGGGAAATTCCCAGCAGAGAAAACCACTAGGGCTGAGTCATCAGAAATGAGATGAACCTGGCAGGATGTGGGCAAAGGTCATGCCCTGGAAGGGGCCCAGGTAGGGCCCCACGTCCTGCCCCACGTCCTTTGTGTGGGCGGGCAGGTCGGGGTCGGTAGTATGTCACCATCACCATCTCCCAACAGCCCTGTCCTGGAGTCCAGCTGGTCCCGGCTTCAGACATAGGTCAGGCTCGGTGAGAGTGGGGACCAGGGCTGTGATGACAAGGCCCCCTGACTTCTCAGTGGGCCCTGTCTGAGTTAATGAGAAGCTCAGGCCAGCCCCAGGAAGGGTGTTACATTGGCCTGGACCTGGCTGAATGAGGGTGGCAAGCAGGCGTCTTAATAGCAGAGGGAGCTGACAAATACAAGAGTCTTCCCATGCCTGCCACCAAGCAGCATTCCATACCTGTCCTCCCATCTGGTCCTCACACGAACACAGGTGTCATGAGTACAGGGCCTGGCACCCTAGGCGCTTGATAAATTTAAATGAATGAAACAAAACAAGCAAACAAAAGCCTTTGTAGGGATAGTGTCCCGTATGGTAATCTTGGTGCTGTGTGGTTGTATGCCAAGACCTCAAATTCCTGGAGAACCAGCCCCCTGCCCTGTTGGCTGGAGAGAGGAAGAGCTCACACAGGATTGCCCCCTCCACGCCCATTCCCCCCATGAGAGTTCTGTTTCCCCCGCACCCACTGGCCAACGCATCCTTTCTGGGCTGGCCAGAGAGGACTCACATGTAGAGAACATGGATTCCAAGCTGCAGCAACTTCTGCCTTCCCATCCATGGATGGCTAAGATTCATTGAGAGCTTGCTTTGTATCAAGTCTTATGATAGGCACATGGCACAAGTCATCTCATTTCATCCTCTAGTCCACTTTGTGAAGGAGATGAAATTGGCTCCTTTTGCAGATGAGGAAACTGAGGCTCAAAGAGGTTTGCTTCCTCTAGCCTGTTTGGCGAACTCCTATTAATCCTGCAAAGCCTACCACCTTGACTAAGAAGTAGATCAACCCTTCCTGTGTCCCTGTGACACTGAAGCCTCTTTGCTGCATCCGTCCTGTTGGATGATTATGTACCTCTGGGCCTTTGCCCTCATTAGACTGAAAGCTTAGGGAGAACAGGAACCAGGCCTGATACACATCCAGGTGCAGGGAAGTCACCTGGCACATGGTAAGTGTACAGTAAGTGTAGGTGGCTTATTTGAATTGTTTGCAGCTGTGCACACGTCAGCCCAAGCAAGTTCCTGCTTCATGCTTTCTTCCTTTTTCTTCTTAGAAATTTAACCTTAAATAAAATGCAGAAGTTTAAAGACTGGAAGACTCAGCTTCCTGGACCCACTGGGACTGCTATTTTTGTACCCTTGGGCTCCCTGTTTCATGAGTGCATGAGCCCTATTTCTCCACTGGATGGGACGTTGGTCTGCCTTTCAGGGGGCCCTCAGCGGGCCAAGGCTTGGAAAATGATCCTCATACATGTTCAAACTTCACCCCTTGCCTTGTGGCGGGAGAGGAACAAATTGGAAAATGACTTTAAAAGGGAATATTACATTTTCTCTGGGATGTTGAGCTGACTTTCATTTCTAGGATCCCAAAGACCCGCTTGACCTTTACATCCACGTTTGCCATTTTGGTCACAAGCTGATGACAGTAAATTATATTTCTAGAGAATTTTATTGGATTCAAAATGCAGGGACTTCCCTGGTGGTCCAGCAGTTAAGACTCCGCGTTCTCAATGCAGGGGGCCCGGGTTAGATCCCTGGTCAGGGAACTAGATCCCGCATGCCGCAACTAAGACCCGGCACAGCCAAATAAATATATTTTTTAAATACATTGATTTGCCTCAAAACATTCATTGGGCATCTACAATGATCTTTGTCAGGTACTGAGGACACAAAAGTGAGTAATATCTGTTCCCTGTCCCCAAGGAGGTCACATAGTGTCACTGGGGACACTCTCAGGAGGCCGGGCAATGCCTTCCTAGGGTGACACAAAAGCTTGTCCACGATACAGAGGCAGCCTTGAGATGGGCACTCAGGGTCCTCAGGGAGGAAGTGGGGCAAAGTTGCTCAGGCTGCAGGATGTGGGAGAGCACCCACCTCATCTGATTAGCTTTTCATAAGAACACTGCACAGTAGGCCTGGGCAAGTTTTTGTTATTGCCATTTTAGGCATAAGGCTGCTGGGGCTCAGAAAAGTCAAGTAACTTGCCTAAGGACACACAGCCAGTAGGTGACAGAAGAAGGAACTGAACCTCCCAACCCACTTCTGTATCCACTCTGGTCTGCCACCTCCTCACTCATTCACCCATTCATCCGTTCACAAAGAGCTATGAGGTGTTGCCACGGGTCAGGCCCTGTGTGCTAGACACGAGGCCTCACAGGAAGGAAGATGGCTGAGGCCCCTCCCTTCAAGGAGTTCACAGGTTAATGGCAGAAAGAAATACATAGAGACTGTTGTAGTCAGGGCAGTGAAAGAAACAGCCAGGAAAGTAAGAGAGCAACTTGCCTGACCTGGGAGGCTGGTCAAAAATGAGGTGGAGCTGGCCAAGTGGAGCCTCTGGAGACATATGTGACGTCCGCTTTCTAAACCTGCTGTGGGTCTACTTAGATGAACACTATGATATTTGGGGATAAAAGTGGACAAGGACCCTATTGGGCCCCATACTTACTGTGACACCATGTCTGAGTGTGAGCACAAATCCGTGTGTCTCTTGTTTGGGGGACCCTGAATCTCTGTGGGGAGAAGTCTCTTCAAGGTGGAGGAGGGACAGGAAATAGAGAGAGGCTTTTGCAGAATCAACAGAGCTGGTCAAGTGTCTGAACTTCAGGGTGGGACAGACCTTGGTTCAGTTCCTGGCCCTGCCGGGCGCGTGTTTTCTCATATGTAAAATGGGCACAGAAACATCCACCTTGCGTGGCTTTTGTCGGGATCAAGTGAACGCCTGTGGGCTGGGCATGTGGAGGAAGAGAATGTGATTAACAATCCCATGAAAGGGATTTGCTTCCCTAGCAGGGCCCAACCCAGCCTCCTTTCAGAGATGAAAGGGGGGAACAGAGCCTAGGAGGTTTCAGGTCACATCAAGAGTGAGGAGATGCAGGTTGAATCCTGCCCTGCCTGACTGTGCCTGGATCTTGAGTGAGGGCCGCATGGCCTTGGATAAGTCCTTTCCCTGCTGCGTGAGAGCTTTCTTTCTCAGGATAAATGTTTACACCCCACGTGGGGCCTCCACTTCCTTACCACTAGAGGAAGGAGGAGGTCAGGGCCCAGTTCTAATGTTTTCAAGTGTCTACAGGACTCCTGGAGGGGGTTCCCACGCTGGAGAGAAGGCTGCAGAGGCCCCAGGATGTATGGCTTGTGCTGCAGGCCAGGTTGGAGGGAACTTGCTCTTCTCTCTAACTGATCCCTCTGAGAAAGAGGAACCTGTGGTCTGACTTAGGCTGAACTGGCCAAAACAGGAACCAGGGTCTCTACAGCATCAGCCACCATGAGTCCTTGGCCCTGGACTTCTGTTTTTCAGATTGGGTCTCAGGATGGGATGTCCTTGTGGTCAGCTCAGTAACCTGGAGCCTTCATATTCCTTCCAGCTGCCCAAGGAAGTTGCCTGCCTTCCCCTTTAAGGAGGGGGCTCCTGAGTGATGGGCATCCCAGGCCTCTGCCCCCCCTTCCTGGCAGAAGTGGTCCAGCCTTGGAAGGGCCAGAGTCACTTGGGGAACACCCTGGTAGGTTTCCTCAGGGCACAGGGCCAAGATGTACCGTCACCCACCTTCATCTGTGTCGACTGGCTCTGGACATTGGAAGAAATCTGTTTATTGTTGCTGCTGTTATTACTATTATTGTTTGAGGTTCAGAGAGGTTAAGTGACTTGCCCAAGGTCACACAATTCAAAACTGCATCTGTGGAAATGCAGCTGTGGCCCGTGTCATATTTCTACTGGTGCGACATGGTACTGCTGTAGATGGTCCTGCTAACGGGAGGATGAGGTCGTGCTGAGATGGGGAGCTGGAACAGGAGGCAGGATGGTTTTGTTGGGCAGGTGTCATTGCTTCTCAGACATGTTTTGCCAGGGAGATGGCATAGAAAGGGTTGGAAGCCCTGGCCAGATTCAGAACATCAGTTCCTTTGCATCCAAACATAAAGCCAGTGGTACAAGGCCAAGCCATGGGCTCTGGAATCAGATAGCTCCAATCTCTGCACCACTGTCTGCTAGCTATGTGATCTTGGACTAGTTACTCAGCCCTGAGCTTCAGTTTCCTCATCTGTAAAATGGGAATATAGCATAGAGCCTCCTAGAAGGTCCTTAAGAGGATAAAATGAGGCAAAGTGTATACAGCACCCAAGGTGGTACTCGGCACCTTCAGAGCTCAGTAAGTTTAGATAACAAAAGTAAATCATTACAGTGTGAAAATGCATCTTAGAGACCAGGATAACTTGGTCTTGGATTAACAGTGTTTGGTATCTGTGCCTGATGGACGCCCCATCTGGCCTCCCCTCGCTCACCTGGTCCACGGGTAGAAATGCGCAGGTTCGCGGTTGACACGTGTGGACACAGCAGCCTCAGTGGTGGTTGGGCCCCGAGTCTTGTCAGCCAGGCTCTGCTCAATGGCCATCTGGACCAGCTCATCCTCGCTCAGGCTGCTATACAGGTTGTACTCCTCTTGCCCAATGGCACGCTGTCTGCCCCGAGCACTGATCTCCGTGGCCATCCTCTTCCACCTCTCACCTTGGCCTCCAGAAGACACTCAGTGGGGAGGAGCAAGCATCAAATCAGAAAAGCCTGTGAGGAGATCAAAGCCACCCTGGTCACTAAGAGTTTTGCAAGGTAGCTATGTTTACACACAGGGAAGGCTGTGCTTTCTTGTGGCAATCACACAATCATTTTTCATCCATTCATTTTGTCATATGATCCACCCAACCACCCATTCATCTACACATCCATCCACCCACTCATCTATTCATCACTCCACCAGCCTATCTAACTGTCCATCCAACCAGCCACCCATCTGTCCAATTATTCATCGTCCCACACATCCAGCTGTCCACCCACCCACTCATTTATCCACTCACCCTCCCATCTGTTCACTTAGCCATCCATCTGTCCAACCGTCTAAACGTCCGTCCAACATCCATGCTCCTATCCATCCACTCATCTGTCTAGCCAATCATCCAACCATCCACCCATCTCTCCATTATTCACCCTCAGATGTATCTGTCTATCCACCACCCATCCATTTATCCATCCACCTATCTATACATCTATGTATTCAACCAACCATCCACTCATCCACCATTCATTTTTCCATTCCAGACAGCCTATCTATACACGTGTGCATGCATCATTAACTGAGAGATTATTTACTGAGCACCTCTTCTATGTCTGACACTCTTCTAAGCACCGGTGATACAACAACACGATCCCAAGAGACAGAATCCCTGCCCTCAAGGAGATTACACAACCGTGCCCACATTCCTTCCTTCCAATCATCCAACAACACCCTATCCACGCATTTCTCTGCCTTGTGCTAGAGTTGAGATTATTAGAGATGAATCACATGATCTAGTTAAAACTGATTGTTAAAATCATTTGCCATGTAATTCCAGGGACTGTCTTCTTTAAAAAATTGCCTTAAGGAGAAATGGACTTTGGTTGAGTCAACTGCTTTTAGGAAATGAAGTAAAATCAGCTTAGCCTGATTTTCATTTTGACTGGCTGACATGCAGTGTGGCTGTAGGTCAGTGATTCTGAGCCCTGACTGAAGATTAGAGTCACGTGAGATCTTTTCAAAAAATATCCAAAATACCAGTGCTGTAACTCGGTTCGCTTGGCAAATATTCACCCTCCCCTTTCCCCTGGAGGCAGAATGTTGCCCCTTCCTTCCCCACTGAGATTCGGCTTGGCCATGTAACTTGCTCTGGCCAATGAATGTTAGTGGACATGATAAAGCAGCCACTTGACATGCGCGTGTGCGGTGGCACTTGCTCTTCTGCCATCGCCAGGTCTCCCCCCTTGGAGCCATTGCCCTTTAGCTGGGCCCCAGAGTGAACCCACCTGGGGCTGCCATAGCCCAACCTGCACAGAGGAGCTCTGTCTAGTGGGTCTGCAGCCTGAAGCTGAGTAGCCCAAGCTGAGTAACCCAGCCTGGCCTGGCCTAGATCAGCCTATCGACCTGCAGCGCCAGAGCACGAGAATAAATGCTTGCTGGGGGTGCTTTGTCATATAGAATTCTTGTGGCTCTAGTTAACCAATACCCAAAAGACTAGGCCAGGCACTTCACAGAGAGGACATCTAAAAGGCCAACCACCAGACGTAACTTCCTAAGTGTTTGGGAAGAACTCAGATTAAGACCCCAATGCAATACCACTATACACCCACCAGAATGGCTCAAGTGAAAAAGATGGGAAATGGCAAGTGTTGGAGAGGAAGTGGAGCAACTGGAATGCTCCCCACTCGTGGCAGAAGTGTCAAAATGGGATGGCATTTGCTAATGCTGAGCATATACATGTCATGTGACCCCCAAACCCCACTCCAGTCTCTATGCCCAAGACAGGTGTACATATGTTCACCAAAAGACAAGTTTGAGAATAATTCATAGCAGGTTTATTCAAAATAAACCCCAATGGGGCTTCCCTGGTGGTGCAGGTGTTGAGAGTCCACCTGCCGATGCAGGGACACAGGTTCATGCCCCGGTCCGGGAAGATCCCACATGCTGCAGAGCGGCTGGGCCCATGAGCCATGGCCGCTGAGCCTGCGCGTCCAGAGCCTGTGCTCCGCAATGGGAGAGGCCACAACAGTGAGAGGCCCGCATACCGCAAAAAATATATATATATAAAAAATAAAAAATAAATAAATAAACCCCAATGGAAACTCCCCAAATGTCTATCAGCATTTGAATAGATTACCGCACTGTGGTATATTCATGTGATGGATAGTATGCACCATTGAAACAGTCAAACTGCCACTACACACAATAACAGGATGCATGTCACAAACCTGAGTGAGCAAAAGAAGTCAGATAATAAAGAACATACATACCCGATTCGATCTGTATAAAATTCAAGAACAGGCAAAACTAACTTAGGTGATAGAAGTCCGGAGAGTGGTTACCTTTGGGGGTTACTAAGTGGGAGGGAACATGAGGGGGCCAGTCACGCTGTGTTTCTTGATCTAAGTGGTTACATGGCTGGTTGGTTCCCTTTGTAAGAATCCCTGGAGCCGTTCAGGTATGATCTGTACATTTCTGTACATGATACCACAGTAACACATCTACTTAAAAGAATGTGAAACTGGTTCTAAAAAGGATTGGTGTTTGGGCCCCGTCTCAGACCCATTAAGTCAGAATCTCTGGGAGTGTGGCCTGAGCATCCCACTTCTTCGAGGGGCTCCACGGGTGACTGGGAACCACCACTTGGCAGGGGGACCAGCCATAAAGCACAAGCAGAGGGGGGGCACCCATCTGGGGTGGGAGCGGGGTGAGGGGTGGGATCTGACATGGGCTGAACCCTTGGTAGATATTCTTCCATCTAATTCCTGTCACAGCCCTAAGAGTAACACCTACTGCTCTGTAAGGCACTAGCAAATGAGAGTTGTTATTATCAAACAAATCTGGGTTTTCCAAACACAGCTAGACGAGGCTGCAGCTCCGAAGGCAGCACACAAGGGCATCTGGGGACGGCGGTCCTGCGCCCTGCCTCAGCCTTCCTGGGGTCATTCCCCTCCACCCGCTTCTCCCCACCAGTTCTGCCTGGTTCAGGCCTTGATTTCCTCCTGCTCGGCCTCAGCAGTGGCCTTCGTGGTGGTCCCCCAGCCCCACACCCCAGACCTCACCAAGTCCTTCCTCTGCCTAACAGAATAAAGCCTGCATGCCTGGCCTTGGCCTTCCACCTCTTCAAAATCCAGTCCCCACTCTCCCTTCACCCTCTTCCTCTGCATCCCTGACTTTCCAAGTAAGGCGAGGGCACACCTCTCCCCCAACCCAGCCGTGTTTCCTACCCCAGTGCTCTTGCTTGAGCTGTGCTGGACACATCTCCCTCCTTCCTGCATTTTAAGAACTCCTTCTCATTCCTCAAGGTCCAGAGCAAGTGCCTCCTCTTCCAGGAAGCCTACCCAGTTTCTTCCAAGGAGCATTCTGCTGCTAGAACTTCTCCCTCCGGGCTGTGGTCAGTAGTTCACGTGTGGACTTGACCCTGGGTGGTCTTCCCAAGGCCAATGCCTTACGAGGGGAGAATGCCTGGTTCAAGTTTCCTGTGCGGGTGGCTGTATGTCTCCACTATAGTAAGGCACGGCAGACCCTCTTGATTGCCCGCCCAACAGCCATTTCTCCCAATTTCTCTGATAGCAGAACCTGGCTTTGTTCAGGCAGCAGTGTGCCCTCTTCCATGGATGAAGCATGACTGTTCCAAGACAATTGGGACAGTCTCACCCCCTTGGCCAGTGACTAATTTAGGGGTAGGCATGTAGCCTGGCTTTGTCCAAAGAGACATAAAGGAAATTCTGCCGGGGTCTCCCAGGAAGGACTTTCCTTTTCCTAATAAAAGAGAAAGCAGTGAAGAAAACGACTCCTCGCCCACACCCCTGTTTTGTGTTGGAGGACTTGCTGCTTAGAGTGGTGGCAGCTATCTTGTAACCATGAGAGGGACAGTGTCGCAACAGTGAGTTTGACGGAGTGAATGACAGGTCTTCTGAGTCCTTCATTATATTGTTGAGCAGCTGAACCAGTGCTGGGTCTGCCCATCCTGGCCTGCTTATTAGGTAAAGACTGAAGATCCTTATGGTTTAAGCCAATGTTAGGTGGATTTTTTGTTATATGCAGTCAAAAATCATCTTTAAGCATGGTTCTTAGGCCTGACCGAGAGTCTTGAAAACATGCCAAGGCTCTAGTCCCACCCGAGACCATGAGCTCAAAGCCTCCAGGTCTGGCGGCCAAGCATTGCAATGTTCAAGGCTTCCTTGACAATTTTAGTAGGTAGCCAGTGCTGAGAACCACAGCTCCGCGTCAACTGTCAGGTAGCTGCTCTGTGCTCCACACTAGGGGAGGGAGAAGGGGCATCCTGACCTCAAAGTCATTTTGTGCCTAATGTTTGGGGTACTGTTATTATTATTATTACCATTATTATTATTTTGCAGCACCGACAACCTCAGTTTTGTTTATCATGTAAAGAGCCCAAGACTGGCAATCAAGCGACTTGGGGGTTTACGTCCCAGCTCAGCCACGAGCATCTCTCTTTCTCTCTCAGGCTCTCAGTTTTTCCGTCTGTTAAATGGCGGGATGGACTAGAACCTGCCCTCCATCCCTTCCATCCTGGAAGGGGGCACTGTGCAGCCAGGTGGTCCCCACCCCCATCTGACCCAGGCCCTGCTTCCCACCCCTTCTTTGCTTCCCTGTGCCTGAGGTCCCTGCCTTGGCTTTTCCAGAGCTGGAGTTTGGCTCTACCCCCACCTGGCACAAGGCAGAGGCTCAGTTCACGTGGTGCTACCCTGACCGGAAGTGCCGATGCCCAGTGCCTGCCCAGCGTTGTGGTGCCCTCGCCCGAGGTCATCTGCTCCAGACCAGGGGCGAGGGGGAAGAGCATGGGACTAAGAGTCAGAGACCTGGGTTATAGTCTCCAAGTTGATGCTAAAGTGCTGTGTGACCTCAGCCACATCCCTGTCCCTCTCTGGGCATCAGTTTTCTCATTGCAAAAAGAGGATTTGGGCTAGAAGGTTTCCAAGGGTTCTTCCAGTTCTAAAGCTTCTACGACTCGTTGAGGTGCTTGGTTAGCTCTGTGCTAGTGAACACC